GGGAGGGGGTGTCGTTGCACACGTGTCTCATTTACATCTTACTTTAATGTGTTTTGTGGGCACAGTCTTTTTCGTCTTCATACCTGTGTTGGCCTACTATTGTCCGAAATTCCTCTTTATTCTTTCTTATTTCTGTTTGATTTGAATTCCTTTTCCTTTTTAACTTCTTTCTCACTTCACTCCACTGTGTAGTGATAATAATTATAAGCATCATCATCACCATCAAATGCCAGTTCTACGGCAGACAACGGCGATCATGGTTCATCATTCATTGCTCTTAAAAAGCTACGTTACTCTGATCTTTACCCGTTTCCCATCTGTTTAGGTTCTCTAAGTAGGTTGTTCTAGGCTACCCCTGCCTCGTTTGCCTTCAATGTTTGCCGGTTAGAGCTAGATGTTCAAGACCTATGTCTTTCCATGTTTCCAAGTTTAAAAAAAATGCATTTGACTTTTCCTGGTCTTTTTTATCCGTGAGCGTCCAACGTGTGCTTCATCAAGTACTAGATTCTACCTCATTAGATTTCTTTTCCTTCCTAGATATTCTCAGCAATCTGGTAACACATTTTCTGTTGCTTCTATGGTCGTTTAGTGATTGTCCAGCATTCCCAGCGACATAGAAGGTTTGGTCATACAGAGCGTAAAAGAACTTTTCATTTTGGTCGTCATTCAAATGTTTCTGTATTTCAGGATTGGGCTCATTTTATTGAGCTCATGTTATTTAGATCTATAATAATACACCCGTGTGTGTGTGTGTATGTGACACGCGTGCATGTGCGTGTTTTTGTGCGCACTATGAGAAAAGGGAAAGAACCAACACATAAGTCCAGTTTCTAAAGTAATGTAAAAGTTACTTCTCCTAGCCCAGTCGGTATTGGGGAACCCCCCCCCCCCCCAACAATTTCCTCAGTGCCAGTGCTCGCCAAGGCAAGGCCGATGAGTCACAAGTGGCCGTTTGCGCATCACGTTCTGCGCATGATCAAGAAAACAAAACTTCCGATAAGAACATGAAAGATAAGATGGCGGCCTCGTATGGGTCGGGCTTACAAAGCCCCCCACCGATCGGAAGGCCCGTCGATCGAGTATTTGAAGAAGCGCAATTCACAGGAGAAATATATTTGAATGGAAGAAAACTAAGAGACTACCCAAAGATTTGCAGCAAATATGATTTGAGTGATACAAGCCATGTCGGTGAGTCGACTAGACTCTAGCCTTCTTCCTTCTTTCGCCCCGGTCATGTTATTTTTGTTTGTATTTCCGTTTTATTAAATTAACTTATGTTCCAAATTGGTTGAATCTAATCTAGATTAGATCTAGATTCTCTATCTAGATTTAGACTAGATTATCTAGATCTCCTAGATCTAGATTCTAGATCTAGAATATAGAAAACTAGATCTAAATCTAAGTATTAGGCCTCTTTGAACATTAATTAGCAGACCAGGCCAAGAGGTAAATAACTTCTACTACTACTACTAAGCTACTAGACTAGATCTAGATCTAGATCTAGATCTAGATCTAGATCTATGTCTAGATCTCTAGAATCTAGATGCCCCTGTACGGCATACCGTCCCCTTAGTGTTTTGTGATGACTATTTCCGGAGGCCACCTCTATTCTCACCTCGGGTGAGAATAGTGCAGGCGAGTCTTTTTGGCTATCGAAGTACAGACCCCGTAACCGGGAACAAAGTCTCGAAGTATACAGACCCGGTAGGGGAGCTCTTTTGTGAAGTTGGAAAGTTTCAGCGCCCAGACCCGGTAGTGTGTGTGTGTGTGAGAGAGAGAGAGCGAGCGAGCGAGCAAGAGCAAGAGGTGCCCTCTGTGGCACCTCACCAAGGCAAAAGTAGATTTACAGCTGACCACACACAACAAAGAAAACACACACACCAAAACTTTTAAAGCAGAATACAAAAAACTACTAGATAAATACCCCTGTGCGGAGCTCATGTTCACAGATGGCTCCTAAAAAGACGATGAAGTGGGCGCCGCAGCCCTATCTTCCAACAGTAATATCATTCATCATATGATGAGCAATTGCCAATACGTGAGACTCTTGAGAGTCAGTGGTGCAAAAAAATTTTTCTTACCAATTTGACTCTCTTTTCTGTCAGTCACAGATTGACATTTAGTGCTCATATTCCTAGACTATCAGAGCAAGGAGATGTACGGTTTTGGGGGTCTATTGGTTTGGCTACCACTGTATTTCTTTTGTAACAGTGATGACAAAAACAGATAAGCAGCAAGGCAAATTATAATGGACTTTAAATTCCATATTTGTTTAGTAAACAAAGACTTTGTACACTATGAACTCCATTCATAATGGTAAGTAGTATATGAATGACAAGCTTTGTAACAATGACGCAGTGCACAGAACATGTCATCATTGTTATGTATGTGAGCCATTGCCAAAACGTGGGACGTGGGGAAAAACACACACATGCATCTCACATTAGTGTGCATAAAATGTGATGCATTAGTATTTATTCCTCCAAAACGTATACACACGTCAAATATAGGATATAGAACCTGCATTAGCAGTTTCAGACCCCTTGTCAGCTTTACAATCTTGAGTTTGTAAATTTTGTGCCAAAAATGTTCGTTTTTTTGTGATTCCTGGAGTGTCATTTTGAGCACACCAATGCAAACTTCCAAGAATGTCCAAAATTTAGTATTTTTGGATGTGTTTTTTTTACGCGTGCTTTGATCCTATGTTATTTGTCATTGAGAAAGGTTAACTTGCTCAAGAAATCGGTTTATTTGTTTGCAAATAGACGAACAATTCGGATTACTTGTGCGTCTGTTGTGTCGTCACGGACTAGGTGTTTCAGAAAACACCATTATTTTTCAGTAGAATCACCGTAGCTGGTTAAATCTCTTTGCCTATCGTCGTTTATTCAATACTTCAAATGCCGCGATGCGCGAAAGGAACATCGGGGCTGTTTAACATTCGCCGTTATTGTCGACAATTTGCGACGTGCCGGAAGTCCGAATTTCGCCTACTTTTGTTTTGAACGGGTCATTAAAAGTGCCCGGATATAATTGTTTTCTTGAGTGACTTCCCCTTACCCGCGTCCCCAGAACAACGGAAGCAACGGGGGAGACAGAAAAACGAAAGTAGTCATTGCCTTCAGCGTCCGGCGACGCACAAGAATTTTGCGTTGAATGTGACGTACTGGGCTGTTTTGCGTGTTTTTAGGCTACTCTGTTGAATATTTTAGTGAAATTGCGGTGTTTACACCGGATTCCTGGAACAAGAGTGTGATGTGTGAACAAACTTCGAGAGATGGATCATTTCTGTGGTTATAGATTTAGCTTTTGTGCTCAGTGATGACGTTTGGGGTGTCGTCATGCAGCCGTACAAGACTGACTAACGTACAAGAAATTACATTGTCCTAAGAGCAAACATTTTTTAACTCTTTTTATCCTAGCCGTACCCCCACGGACTCTGTACCCGTCCTGGGGCTGCCGCGCCGCATGAGTCGGAAGTCAGTGCGTATAGTTCAAAGTGCTATATTTCTTACTTAAATTACTCTAAGGTTTTAAGGAAATTTTGCAGTTATAATGTTAGAAATTGAATGTAGTTTTTGTAAATGTATGTGGTTAGGAAATACACCAATAGCACAATGTTGATTTTGAGGTATATTCAACCCTCGAACTTGACCCTGATTGCCGCGCCCCCGACGTCCCATTGGATTTTATAGATCTAGATCTAGCCCTACCCATCGAACACGGATTCCAGTACTGACCCCTTCACCATAATCTAAATCGCTATTAGATGAGTCTAAGTCATGTTTCTTATCATCCACAACGGAATTTACGGCACTTATTTCAGAGTCACTATCATCAAATTAGTATCATTCCCCCTCAAAACCCAGCGCAACTTCAAAAAGTACTTCGTCGGTCGCGAATGTGCGTTTTCGAGACATCTTTCAAGCTTCTACACCCATCAAAAACAAAGAAACCACTGTTCATTGGAAAATTAAAATATTCAGACAGAGCTAGCATCGCCGTATTTGCGTATTTTTGTAATTACAAGCAGAACTAGCTTCTTTGACGAGACCGTATCGCTGTTCCGAGAATACTCGTAGCCCGGACTGGTCCTCGTTACGAGAGTATACTCGTAGCCCGGATAAAAAGAGTTAAGTAATGTGTGCTCTCTTTACTCAAACAAATAAACAAACATGTCCTTGTTTATCTGTCTAACTCAAAAATACACATTTGTTCTTTGTTGGTATGATATATACCTTTTTCCAATACATTGTGTCATTGTGTCATCATTGTTGTTATGTACAAGTAATATTTGTCATAATTGCTAATATCAATAAGTTTTCAACATATATTTCATACATGCAAGATTCATTTAGAAGCAAAATACGCCTTTATTGATCTGTGTATCTCTTAGTGCAAATTTGTTCTTTGTAGGCATGATTTTACCTTTTCCCAGTATGTTTTGTCATCACTGTTATGTACGACTACTGTTTGTCATAATTAACCACATAATTTTGATCGTCCACTGTCTTTGATATGACGTGGTATCTGTTTCAAAGCAAAAGAAACCTCTCCTGGTTTTTTTTAAATTCTTATAGTGCGCTTTTATCTCTGGAGGCAAGACTTTTGTCTTTTCCTGTACATTGTGTCATCATTGTTATGTACAAGTCATGTTTGTCATCACTGTTATGTACAAGTCAGCTCCATTGATTTTGTGCTTTTGCCTCATATTAGTTAAAAAATTGTTTTATACATGTGTTTTTCTGGTACTGAGGCTTTGATAACTGTATTTGTACAGCCTTTCACTATTGTGATGTGTTGTCAATGATAATGTCCAATGTGTATCCTTTCTTGTACATAACAATGATGACATGTTCTGTGCACTGCGTCATTGTTACAAAGCTTGCCATTCATATTACCATTATGAATGTAGTTCATAGTGTACAAAGTGTTTGTTTACTAAACAAATGGAATTTAAAGTCTATAATTTGCCTTGCTGCTTATCTGTTTTTGTGATCACTGTTACATACAAGAAATACAGTGGTTGCCAAACCAATAGACCCATATCTCCAAAACCGTACATCTCCTTGCTCTGATACTCTAGAAATATGAGCACTAAATGTCAATCTGTGACTGACAGAAAAGAGAGTCAAATTGGTAAGAAACATTTTTTTGCACCACTGAGTCTCAAGAGAGTCTCACGTTTTGGCAATTGCTCATGTACAAGAAAGGATACACATTGGACATTATCATTGACAACACATCACAATAGTGAAAGGCTGTACAAATACAGTTATCAAAGCCTCAGTACCAGAAAAACACATGTGTAAAACAATTTTAAAACTAATATGAGGCAAAAGCACAAAATCAATTGAGCTGACCTGTACATAACAGTGATGACAAACATGACTTGTACATAACAATGATGACACAATGTACAGGAAAAGACAAAAGTCTTGCAGACCTGCCACTCATCCCGATTTATCCCGATTTTTTGCCCCAAATCTCAAGCATCCCGATTTTCCCTATTTCAATCGGCAGTATCCTGATTTTTTGTCGCTGCGTCAGTTGCGTCCGATTCTTAGAAAAAAATATTAAAAGTTCTGCAATCTCTTTTGCTTGGAAGCACGGATTGGACTTTTTATCGGCAGGAACTTGGAACGCTACTTTTTAAAGCATTTATGCCGAATCTAGTAGATGACTCACGCACGTTATTTTAACAAAAACCAACGTAGTATCGATTTTGAATTCCGACATCGATACGCTCAAGATGTACTTTCGCTTTTATAACCCAGAATTCTCCGACTGTGTCCTGATTACTGTAACAATTATGTCATGGGCCTAAGAATAAGCTATTTGTTGTTCTGCTGTTGGTTTAAAAGCAAGCTTCGTTTGAGTTCTGGTTAGTCGGGCCCATCAGCATGAGCAAGACCTGTCAGTGGAACTTTCAAACGCTCATTCGCAACACGTGACATGACCTCGTACGTGTGAGTAGCGCGTGTGTCGGGGACCGTCGGCTGTCGGGGTCAGCAAAGTTCATTCACGCCGGTCGCATTGGTCGGGGTGTTTTTCGAGACTTAACCAGGACGACCGGGGGGAGCGGGTGGAGGTATTGTTTTGACACTTGGGCTTAAAGTGCGTGCCGTGATACAAGTAGAACCTACTAATTGAGGATAAAGGAATAAGAAAAAAGAAATAAATGAACAACCTTGGCGCAATCTTTTTTTTCGGGGGGGTGGGGGGGGGGAGGGGGTGCCTTGAGTGTATATGCGATGGAAGTCAAACGTTGTTACTGTACGAAAACACGGGCTTTTTGCATGGATGATTAGAGTTATGTGTCAGCAATTTTCAAGACTACGAGAGTTTCAGCTTTACTGCAACCTGCTCTACCCCACTCTACCCCACTCCGACTCGAGTAATGCTGTCTTTTTAGTGGCCCAAACATGAACTTAATTCCTGCAAAAAGTTTTTTCTTGCATACTTTCCTCATAAAAGGGAACCAGGATCCCCATTCCCCTGTGCCCCTTATGACTGATTTGCCGTTGATCCCGATTTTTTTCACCTGATCCTGATTTTTTAACTCTAAAATCCTGATTTTTAGATTTCATAGAGTGGCAGGTCTGGCCTTGCCTCCAGAGAGAAAAGCGCACTTTAAGAATTAAAAAAAACCCAGGAGAGGTTTCTTTTGCTTTGAAACAGATATCAGGTCATATCAAAGACAGTGGACAATCACAATTATGTTGCTAATTATGACAAACAGTACTCGTACATAACAGTGATGACAAAACATACTGGGAAAAGGTAAAATCATGCCTACAAAGAACAAATTTGCACCAAGAGATACACAGATCAATAAAGGCGTATTTTGCTTCTAAATGAATCTTGCATGTATGAAATATATGTTGAAAACTTATTGATATTAGCAATGATGACAAATATTACTTGTACATGATAACAATGATGACACAATGACACAATTTATTGGAAAAAGGTATTATATCATACCAACAAAGAACAAATGTGTATTTTTGAGTTAGACAGATAAACAAGGACATGTTTGTTTATTTGTTTGAATAAAGAGAGCACACATTACTTAAAAAATGTTTGCTCTTAGGACAATGTAATTTCTAGTACGTCAGTCAGTCTTGTACGGCTGCATGACGACACCCCAAATGTCATCACTGAGCACAAAAGCTAAATCACAGAAATGATCCATCTCTCGAAGTTTGTTCACACATCACACTCTTGTTCCAGGAATCCGGTGTAAACACCGCAATTTCACTAAAATATTCAACAGAGTAGCCTAAAAACACGCAAAACAGCCCAGTACGTCACATTCAACGCAAAATTCTTGTGCGTCACCGGACGCTGAAGGCAATGACTACTTTCGTTTTTCTGTTTCCCCCGTTGCTTCCGTTGTTCTGGGGAAGCGGGTAAGGGGAAGTCACTCAAGAAAACAATTATATCCGGGCACTTTTAATGACCCGTTCAAAACAAAAGTAGGCGGAATTCGGACTTCCGGCACATCGCAAGTTGACGACAATAACGGCGAATGTTAAACAGCCGACCGAAATCGTAGATCTAGGAACCCGATGTTCCTTTCGCGCATCGCGGCTTTTGAAGTATTGAATAAACGACGATAGGCAAAAAGATTTAACTAGCTACGTTGATTCTACTGAAAAATAATGGTTTTTTCTGAAACACCTAGTCCATGACGACACGACAGACGCACAAGTAATCGGAATTGTTCGTCTATTTGCAAACAAATAAACTGATTTCTTGAGCAAGATAACCTTTCGCAATGACAAATAGCACAGGATCAAAGCACACATAAAAAAAACTCACCCAAAAACACTAAATTTTGGACATTCTTGGAAGTTTGCATTGGTGTGCTCAAAATGACACTCCAGGAATCACTAAAAAACGAACATTTTTGGCACAAAATTTACAAACTCAAGATTGTAAAGCTGACATGGGGTCTGAAACTGCTAATGGAGGTTCTACATCCTATATTTGACGTGTGTATACGTTTTGGAGGAATAAATACTAATGCATCACATTTTATGCACACTAATGTGAGATGTGTGTGATTTTCCCCACGTTTTGGCAATGGCTCATATACCAGAGGAGACTCCATTCTGAGGCCTCCATTTTCTCTGCGGAGGCCACTGCCATTGACATGGCACTGGACTCCGTAGAAAACTCTCATTACAAATCTTTCCTTATAAAATCCTTTCTGACTCTCTGTCTTGCATCACCTCACTCACAAACTACACACTCTTACATCCAAAAATAGTTAGGCTACAACAAAAAATTCATACACTATCAGAAACAGGAAAAAACATCATGTTCGCATGGATACCTAGCCATGTGGGCATCCGAGGAAACGAGCAGGTAGACGACCTGGCGAAGAAAGCTTCATCCCTTCTGCTGGGATCAACGACAAACACTCTCCCACAGACTGACTTTAGAAATAAAGTATAAAAGTACACCTCCAGTCTGTGGGAGAGCCACTGGGAAAAGCAGAAAAACAATAAACTATATGAAATAAAACCCAAACTAGAACAGCGAAATCCTTCGGACCTCTCCAGAAGAGACGAAGTCATTTTTACTTGATTGCGCATCGGACAAACGGCCCTGACCCACAAATACCTCCTACAAGGAGATGAGAAGCCGTTCTGTGTCGGATGCGACACAGATTTTACCGTTAGACACATCTTAACTGAATGTCTAGACTTTGGAGAGATCCGAAGAAAATATTATAAATGCAAGAAATTGCAAGACAGTTTTTCCGTCGTTGTTCCCAGCAGAATTTTGAATTTTGTGAAGGCCATTGGCCTTTATGGCAAATTGTAAAATGAAATCGGACTATTAAAAATTTTTATTGTTACTTATAAGAGTTGTTTTAAATCGTAAATATATTTACACTGATTTTTAATATTTTAGCATTTTAAAGTCAAATAGTTAACCAATTGTGCAGTGAACTTTTGCGAAAGTAAACAACTTGTGTTTCGCGCTCTCATATGACCTTAGCAGTTGCGAGCGCCGTAAAACCCTATACTACTACTACTAACGTAGCTTTATTTATTTATTTGGGTCGTCCAATTGCTTATTAAAAAAAAATAATGATTCTGTTTCTTTAAACGAACAAAGTTGATTTTTGTCTAAAATCCTGTCTAGTCAAATAGTACAACATGATGTTTTAAACTTATTTTTTGTTGTAATTTTCGATAAATTTAACTGATATTTCGCCATTCAGTGCTTTCTTGTCGTATCTCCATTTTAGTAAACAGTGAAAATGTGACTAGTCTGTGGAAGAGCCACTGGGAAAAGCAGCAAAATAATAAACTATATGTTATAAAACCCAAACTAGAACAGCGAAATCCTTCGGACTTCTCCAGAAGAGACGAAGTCATTCTTACTCGATTGCGCATCGGACACATGGCCCTGACCCACAAATACCTCCTACAGGGAGATGAGAAGCCGTTCTGTGTCGGATGCGACACAGATTTTACCATTAGTGGCATTAGACACATCTTAACCGAATGTCTAGACTTTGGAGAGATCCGAAGAAAATATAAATGCAAGAAATTGCAAGACATTTTTTCCGTCGTTGTTCCCAGCAGAATATTGAATTTTATGAAAGCCATTGGTCTTTATCTGTCCCCGTAGAATTATGCGAATTTAGATGGCCAAATTATGCCCAAAAAAAGCCAAATTATGCAAAAATTATGCAAGTTACCGTAACACCATTCGCGACATGTTTTGCACTTTTTCAACACAAATTTTCATGACTTTTATGTTTTATGACCAGAAAAATTTAAAACAGAACATATCAGTATCAGTAATTTGTAGTGTAATTGAAAAGAAAACAATACACATCTGTTAAAAAAAAAACCAACAACTGAAAAATATAATCTCTGTAACTTTCAGCTGTAGATCTAGCTGGAAAAAAAAAGTAAAAAAAAAAAGAAGACATCTGGACCTCTGATGCTGGCACATTACTAAAACCAGGAACACCTGTCAAACATGAAGCATCAGCAGACACGAAAACAACAACTTTTGATGGATTTAAAACATACTCAAGGAATAAAATCCCAAACCATAACCAAGGTCTTCTACCAAGGGAAATAACCAACTTTTCACTTAAATAAGACTTATTACGGTGATTATTTCCCTTTAGTCACATGGCGAGGCGTTAATTAATAAAATTAATTTTGTTTAAAAAAAAAGGGAAAAAACGTGAAAAAACGTGGGGAATCCAAAATTATGCAAATGTGCAGAATTACATAAAAAAACACCGCGGCCGCACAATCGCATTATAATCCTGTCCACGTAGAATTATAATGCAAATTTAGAAGGCCAAATTATGCACAAAAAAAGCAAAATTATGCAAGTTACCGTAACACCATTCGCGACATGTTTTGCACTTTTTCAACGCGAAGTTTTCATGATTTTCATGTTTTATGTACAGGAAAATTGAAAACAGAACATATCAGTATCAGTAATTTGTTGTGTTTTTGGAAAAGAAAACAAGTTGGTATTACCCGGGAGTGAGTTATAGCTCACTGTTGTAAGTGTGTTGTATTTTTCATTTCATTCAGTCATAACAATTTTATCTCACGGTGTAGAAAGATGTATTGGTGTTATTTCCTTCACTCTACAATAGCAATATTTTTATTTTTCTCTTATTTTGTTTGTGTTTCAGATATCTCCCGGAATCGTCTGACAGAGCTGCCTCAGGAGGTTTGCCAGTACATGTTTGTGGAGAAAATCAACTGCTACCACAATGTGATCCGCTTCATCCCCGACTGTGTGCAGCAGCTGCAAGCTCTCACTCACCTCAACCTCAGGTCTGTCTTAAAGTGTCCGCACTGAGCCTGCTAGAATGCTGTTAGTGGGTGGTTGGCGGGTGCTCTGGTGTGGTTTGGTCCTTCTGTCTTGTCAAGCATCTATCGTCATTATCTCTTCTTTTTGTACTTGTTGCTTCCTTGCAACCCCTCTAATTTTCAGCAGTTATATGACGTAAATGTGTTGCAAGTGCTGTAAAACTCTTACTGAAGCTAAAAGTGTTGTCTAATGACTTAAGCATTGAGCTTAAGGGCACACAAGTACCTCAGTTGGTATCAGGCTGGGCTATGATGTGAGTGAATTCAGTTTGAATCCTCAATGGGGGTATTCTTGTATTTTGGTTATCGGGAGTGTTTTTAAGGCTCTTAACTGTTTAAGTGCCGTCTTTGTGGAGTCTTGCACTTTTTCATGTCACTTGTATGTCAAGTGTCGTACCGAAGCTTTAGCTCGTAACAAATGAGCATTTTTCTGTAGTACTCAATGTTGTCCCACTGTTGTCATGGTGACTGTGTTTCTCTGTGTGTGTTGTCATGGTGACAGTGTGTCTCTCTGTGTGTGTTGTCATGGTGACAGTGTTTCTCTCTGTGTGTGTTGCAGTCGGAACCAGCTGACAGTGTTGCCCACGGCACTGTGTGAGTTGACCTGCCTGGAGGTGCTCTCGGCAAGCAACAACAAACTGGTCTCTCTTCCTGAGGAGATAAGCTCTCTGGAGAGACTTATGGATCTGGTGAGTCACAGACATGCTCACATTCACACAAACACCAAAATGTGCTCACTCTCACTCTTTTTACCAGTCACTCATCCCTTGACTTGTTTCATGGGGGAGGGGGGGGCTGTTGTTACTGAGCGCAGATGTTAAAGTTTTTCCTCATATCCCCCTGTTTGCCATCTCATCGAGGAGTTCTCTTGTTGTCAAATCAGTCTTATTATATCTAGTGTACGTCCATGTGCAAACACATATATACGCACACATTCAGGCACATCTCTGCCCACTCTCAGATGTTCATACATATGCAAATAAACACTCTTCCTGGAATGTATGCTCTTGTTATATACTGACATAAGATAATGTGTTTTTGCTCACACACACAGTCAGCTATCAACTCGCCCCTCTCCTGAAACATACCAGGATCCCCATGTGCACTAAGGCGAAGCTCATCAATGCCATTTTCCTACCAACACTCGCATATGGAAGCCAGACATGGTCCCTAACAAAAGTCCTAGAGAGGAAGCTGGTCGCATGCGAGATGCAATGTTTAAGAAAAGTGGTTAACAAGACAAGAAGATACAAAATAAAAAATGAAATCATAAGAGACATGGTAGGAGCAACACCAGTCCTACCACACATTGAAAAACAAAAGATCAAATGGTTCGGACACATCACACGGATGCCCTCAAACCAACCAGACCAGCTCTGAGGGCATATAGCATCAAATATCCTGGCTGGAGAGCCAGAGGAAGACCAAGATGACGCTGGGGTGAATCTGTAGAAGACACCCTCAGAGCTCACGGGATGTCCCTCCTACAGGCCACTCGCCTTGCTTCAGACAGACACCTGTATCTCCTCGTGACACCCACCAGTACAAGCGGAAAAAAAAGTAAAGTAAGCTCTCACACAAACAAATACACCCGCAAACACATACACAGACACATACACACACACTTGCGTACATGTGGTGATGAAGACGGACAGAAATATTCTAAAGCATGTTAGCACATTGCTATCCGGCATGTAAGCAACTGTCCCATCACTGTCTCACCGTGTAACCACCTCCTTGATCCTCCTCTCCAGGATGTGAGCTGTAATGAGATTGCCCACCTCCCTCCACAAATAGGAGACTTGACTTCCTTGAGATGCCTGAACCTGCGGCGGAATTTTCTGGTGGAGCTACCCGTTGGTGAGTCAGTCAGTGATTGTTTGAGATAAACATCTTAACCGTCTTTTTGTTGTTGAAACAACTGCCTGCTGGGATTGTTTAGAGGTTCTGAATGAGTTGGTGAGTCTGTGGTATTTGAGGTACCCTCTTTGAATGAGTTGGTGAGTATGGTATTTGAGGTACCCCCACTGAATGAGTTAATGAGTCAACTAGACAGAGCTGTGAGTGTTCAAGCAATTTTGACTTCGAACAACCTTTTTCCACCCTGGTCAGCTGTTTCCGATCAAACGTGTTTGACCACCCAAAATTTTCAAAGACATTTTTTTGTTTCAGCAAATCTGGAAACAGGAATACAGACTAACAAAAAAAAGAGGAATTTTTTCTCAAATAAGGCCTAAAATAGGAGTGTATCGAGGCCAGCGTATTTATTGTATTACATATGTACGTCTTGGGTGTACGAATTGCTTGAATTGAGCGGTTACTGGGTATGTGAAAAGTTCGATCATCCAAGGCTGTGGTTTGCTGTGTTTTGTACAAAGAAAAGTTGCAATCCTTGCTATTGTTCAATGCTTCCAATCTTCCCTATTTTTACAGAAATCCGTACTTTCTGACAGTTCCGTACTTGCTCCCCCATCATTATCATCAACCCCATCCGTTAAAAAGTGCGAAAACGTAGAGCTACCAAAATTCCACAGCAAAGAATCCGTACTTGCCTTCGCATTGTCTTGCATAAGTTCCGGATATTCACAGTAATTCTCCAGGCAATAAGTTGTTACTAACAGGGTCTGGAGATCAGGAAAAAAATCAGAGAATTTTGTGATGGGTTGCGAAGTCGGGAAAAAAGCTTGTGTAATAAAAAACTGTAATATTAGTAGTGTAGATATCTAGACAGTATGGTTGATGAATCATGAAGAGGAAACATAATTGAACCTCTGTGGCGGCAGGCGGAAGTGTATGTGTGACACCGAAGCTTGATCGGGAAGAATCAATAATCAATATCTACTTTCGCTTTCGTTACCACCCAGAAATTTTTCTGTAATAGACTGATAGTCAGATAAATGCAACATCTGTAACCTGCAGATTGTGCATTACAAATGCTCTGTCGCCGTGAAAATAAATCAATATTTGTGGTTACTAAAAAAAAAAGGAAAGAAAGTTATACACGGGTCTTGTCAGGTTCACCATCATGACCGGTCAGTGAACCTGCACTTTTGCATCACATGATAAGACATAGCAATGCCCACCGAGCGCGTTTTGTTCTGCCGATTTTTGGCCCCCGCAGCGGGGGTGTTTCGTGAGACGCACTAACGCAAGGGTTGTTGTCTTCAACTCGCTCTCACGCCGCTTCTCATGAATGGATATGAATGAAACTTGGCAGCCAATCAGAAAAGAGGTAAATCTCGTAGTATGCAGTTTGACAACATTGTACCCATCCTAGAAGCAGTCGAAAACGTTTGCGAAAGTGGTTGATGTGGTGCCCTTTGAAGATTTTTCGGAGCTGTGATTTGTCAAACTGACTGATACATTGTACACCATTTTTCTCTAATCCCTTAAAATTTCAAGCTTCTGTGTTTAGCGGTTTTTGCGTAATCTTTAAATATGTGGGAGTAACTAAGGGAAAAAGCGGCATTGCCATTTGCGCGTGCTGGGAAATTTCCACTGAGTGACGTCATCATCCATCGGTTGCCTCGGGCGCTACAAACGAGGCCCCGCTTATGTGAACCGGAAGGGGGGGGGGGGGGGGGGGAGGATACTTGAAAACTAAACGGGGGCCTTGATAACTTGCGTTTTTGTTGCATTTTAGTCACAATACAATAAATGTAGTCATTTTTATTTGCTTGATTGCATGACAGAAGAATAGAAACAGAAAAGCAAACATCTTGAGAAGTGGTATGGCATTGTGTTTGCGTTATGAAAGCCTATTCCCCCCTCTTGGGAAAGCACACACTTGGACTCGTCCTGTGTGCTCTGTTTGGAAAAGTGAGGCATTAAGATTGTTATTAAAGAGTATGGTACTTATTTAGTCCAGTCTTGGAAGATAGTCTCGTTTATATATTGTTATCGTTCACGCGTGTGTGCGTGAGTGCACGCGCGCGCATGTGTGTGTGTGTGTGTGCACGCGTGCGTGAGAGAGAAAGAGAGAGAGAGAGAGAGAGAGAGAGAGAGAGAGAGAGAGAGAGAGAGAGAGAGAGAGAGAGAGAGAGAGAGAGAGGTGTAAATATGTTACATTTACTGTATGAGTTGTAGCCTACACATGCGAAACATTCCCATGACTTTTAAACTATATTATCTGAACGCATCTTAATCTACCACACAAAAGGACACTGTCCAACAATGGATATACACAGAGACGATCTTATTTTCTATAACAAAGTATGCATGCTTTTACTAGTACAGAACTGGATTTATTAGACTAATAAATCCAGCTCTCTACTTACGTTTTTGTGACAAATTGATCCAGAGCATTGCTTGGCAAGGAGAAACCTTTTATGTTGCCAAGTTTCATTCAAATATCATGACTTTGGGAGAACATATGACTGATAATCTTTGTAAAATCTGTAAAGAACGCCACTTTTTTACCTGTTAATGTCTTTACAACTCAAAAAGTATGATAGATATTAAAAATCTGACTGCATGACTAGATTCTGCATTAAAAAATGTACTAGACTGCCAAGTTTCATTTACATATTCCAAGAAATAGGCGAGCTATGACAAATATTGTCTCAAAACGCACCGAAAACCGCCACATTTTTACCTATAAACGTCTTCATAACTCAAAAAATAGGATAGCTATGAAAAATCTGAAAGCAGGACTAGATTCTGTACTAGAAAATGTACTGGATTGCCAAGTTTCTTTTAAATACTCCGAGAAATGAGCGAGTTATGACGAATATTGTCTCAAAACTCACCAAAGAACGTCCCATATTTTGGGGTTTTTTCATTATATAAAAGTGTACCAGAAATTAATTGATTAAAAAATCTGTAACTTTTTTGTTTATTGATGGATTTCAAAAATTCAAAAAGTTTCATGCTCTGTGAAGATAAAGCTACAAAATGCACACTTTCTGGCAAAAAAAGGTTTTTCGTGGTCATTGCTATAAGACATCGTATAAATACCGGTGGTCTGAGCACTGTAAAGTATAGGACTCGGGAATGGAAGGGGGTGTATTGATTTTTTCAAAAAGATACACTTGCGGAAAGGGATGTTTGGGGAGGGGGGCTGAAGGAAACGCTAGAGCACAAAAACTGAACTGGAAAGCAAATCTTTAGTATTTAGAATTTTGATAACAACTATGGAGCTCTCTGCAAAGCTCGCATTGCTGTAGGCCTTGTGTGGAATCGGGATCTGTCATGCCTTGTTATTGAACTAAAGTGTTCGCGTTTCATTGGATCGGGTGATAGTAATTTATATCTATATTTTAGCTTTCTGTTCAAGATTGGCAGATTTTCAGTGTCACTGCGTCTTACACCTCTCACACGAAATAGGTCTACTTGAGCCATTCAAGTTATTACTAATATTATTCTACTTTGAGTTTGAGCAATAGTTTTCGTCTTCACGTTTATTATATGAATCATGACACTCAGATTTGTTATTGACAGTCGGTATTCTGGTTCTAGGTCTTTTTTCAGGCTCAAAACAGGATTCATTTTTTATATAGTTTATGTAGGCTAATATGATGAGGGAAAAATATTAATAAGAACAGACTGAAATACCTTAGTCACACAAAATCCCAGTGCCACACTGACATGCTGTTGACTGGATATAATGTACCTACGCGTGTGTGTGTGTGTGTGTGTGTGCGTGTGCGTGTGCGTGTGCGTGTGTGTGTGCGTGTGCGTGTGCGCGTGTGTGTGTGTTCACAAATATATACAGATATCATATATTAGATATAAATCGAGCATGCGCTGTCATTGTTATGTAACATACCCCTGGAAAATGGATGAGCCCCCCCCCCTGGAAAATTGAGAAGCTGGGTTTGCATTCACCCAGTATTATAATCATTTGTTTGAAGACTATACTACAAAATGTACTTTTGCATTCATTTATAGACATTTTGACTTTTTATCATTGATAGATGGGCTGTTTTGGGGATCATTCTTGACACACAGCGGCCTTCTTTTTCTCCCCAAATTAGGTCTTGAAAAACATTTCCCGGATTTTGTGGGGACCCTGTACAAAAACCTGCGAGATTGCGTGCGCGTTTCCCACAAATGGCCATTATCCTGCTATGCATTCATTGCGGGTTGAGCGGAAGTACATTTTTAGCTACGAGTTCTACAACAACTACCCAGCCATGATAGCGAACTTTTGTGCCAATTTCCTCCTTTTTTCATTTTCTCATTGTCTCTATCTTCGGAATGTTGCTTTGGGTTTAAAATCTGCTCGTTGATTGATTTTATACAAAAAATCACTCTCAGAAAGAAACTTTTGTCTGTAAATTTGTCTACATTTCAGTTCAGTGCTTCCAATTTCCCGCCCGCCATTTTTTAGTTTCCTCCAGACCTCATCTGCTGATCCGATGCGTGCTGTCTCATTGATGGTCCCTCCCTCCTCCCCCCGTCATGTTTCCGACTTTCTCACTTTGTAAAAAAAAAACTACGTCTCGATCTATGTTGTGTTGCCTTTCGTGAAACAGCTGTAAAGATCAAGCTTAGTCTACCTTTCACTGTTGGAATTTCTGATGGCCGAATGGACAACGTATCTGCGTTTGAAGTCATACAATATTATTCTATGAGTGTCGATTCTATTCCCGGTCCCCGAAACTTTTTTTTTTCCCTCCCGACTGACCAGCAATTTTTTTCCCATAATTATCATTTGTTGCTTGGTAGATTTTTATGCAGTAATGAAGCATGCGCATTCTGGTGTTGTCCCCAGGAGGAGCTTTTACTTGCAAAGTATACGTTTCCTTTTACCAATTTAGGTCTGATTAAAGTTAAATAGTGGCTTTAGAAGGTGTGTGAATCTCATTCTTTTTTTAAATTTTAGGCTCAGAAAGGCCAAATTTTAGCTCATCACTTGC